ACCTGCTAGGATAAGCGGTCTTTGGGCGCTGTAATAAATTTATTCAAGTGGAAATGTTGCGGTCTTGTAACAATGGTTGGTTGCATGTACGCCGCAACTTCTAAAAGTATTTAACGAGCTGACATTTTTGTTTGGATCCCGACCCACCGAACCGCAACAATGTCGGTGTACTGATAGCAAAAATAAATAAATAAAATATAGTTATTTGTGACCAATTGTTTTTTATATGAACTGTTGTCAAATTTCTTGAACAATGGAAGAACAAATGAGAAAAGGTGCGGTGATAATTTTAAAATTTTGAAAGAAATAGTATAAATGAATTCGTTTCTGGTAAGGTGAAAAATTTGGAACATAAGCGAAACTGGCTAAGGCTGACAAGGTAACTCGGAGTTGAACTGTGAGGTCCCCGACCTCGATTTGATTATATTTTAATATAAAAATAAATAAAAATATTGAATCACAAATTTGTTTCCCAACCATTTTTCCAAAGTCGTGGCATGCATGCTACCGCAACTCTCGGAAAGTACCGGGGCGCTGTTTTGTGGCACATCCATCCAGGCAAAATGGGTTGCTTACGAGGTTCGTTTTGCCTGGATGACGGTCCAGTGAAATGGCGCCCCAGTATTTCAGCGGGAGTAGCGGCAACATGCACGGTGCGACTTTTAAAGAAAAAAATGGTCGGAAAACGTATTGATGGTTACAATGGCTTAATTTTTGTTTTTTAAACCACCAACACTTGGCCCAGCTATCGATGCCGAGCCTGAAAGCGTGTTGCGCGCTGCTTCGCGTTGAGCCGCCAGCGCAACAAGAAAAAAATGTTTTGCCTGGCGGCACCAGCCTTTGAGGGCCGGTACCCCGAACCTTCAGAAGTTGCGGGGCGTTAACGACAACGCCCCGCGACCGATGTATGGGTCAAGTACTGGTGGTTTAAAAGATCAACATTCAAACCACCAGTACTTCCGAAGCACTTTTCTCCAGGGCTTGGAACGGTCTGCGTGCCCCCCAGAGTTCGCAACTGGGATTTTTAGGAATACCTGCACCTGACCTAACCACACCCTCTCTGAAAGCTAACCACCCATACCCACTGTATACCTGGCCTGCCGGACCTTTACCCATCTCCACCTATGAAGAAAAAAAAAGAAGGTATACCCAGACCTACCCTACCTGAATTTCGTTGGCATGTAACTGGCCATACCTACCCGTTAACATTTTTTTTTCAAAACCACCCATGGCCACTTGAACCCAAGTTGTTTGCTAACCACCCATACCCTACCCTACCCAAGTTTTTTTTACCTGTACCCACCTGTACCTACCCATAATTGTATGCACCCACCCGTAACCACCTGTGCTCGTCACCGACCCTCCCCTAACCGCCGATAACCGCCCCTAACTGTCCCTAACCGCCCGTAATTGTCCCTAACCGCCCCTAACTGTCCCTAACTGTCCCTAACCACCCGTGAGTTTTTTTTGTTTTTTGTTTTTAACTGCCCCTAACTGTCCCTAACCGCCCCTAGTTGTTCTTAACCGCCCCCAATTGTTCCCAACCCCTTGGACGTCACAGGATTCACGTGGTAATTTTTATTATTATTAATATTATTATTTTATTTTTACTGTTTCCGAGATGTGGCAGCTGCTGCAGCTACTGCCCGAACAGCAACAGTTGTTACATCTGGACACTCTGATGCTGCTATGGATGCATCTAGTGCTACAGCAGCCTATGCTACCTGTATAGCATCTGCAAAAGCATCAACCCTCGGTCTGTCGCACACTTTTTTTTTTTTTTTTTTTTTTCACTCATGAGACTCTCATCCTATCATCTCTCTCGATATATCTCATGGCGCACCTCCACTCCTTTTCTATCTTACCTCATGCGAGGAACATCACTCTCTACTGGAGCAACCTGACCAGACAGCGGACGCGGGCACTCACGCTGAATGGGCTCCCCCATTCAGCCCCAGTTGAGGCACTAGCGTACAAGCCTCGTTACACATACGTACACTTTCTCACACACACATGCACACACAACACACACAAAGACAAACATAGATATTACATACACAGGGTTACACATATGAAAATAGTCTGAAAATTAAAAAACCAAAGAATAAAAAAAATGAAAAGATAAAATTCACCCTTGCGAGAAAAAACGTTTGCTTTATGGGAAAGCGAGAAATTTGGAATATGAGAAAAGCGTCACACATGAGCAAAAATACAAAGCCTACAAAGCTACAAGACTCACACGTACACTCTCTCACACACACATGCACACACAACACACACAAAGACACACATAAATACTACATACACAGGGTTACACATATGAAAATAGTCTGAAAATAAAAAAAAACAAAGAATAAAAAAAATATAGAGATAAAATTCACCCTTGCGAGAAAAAACGTTTGGTTCATGGGAAAGCGAGAAATTTGGAATATGAGAAAAGCGTCACACATGAGCAAAAATACAAAGCCTACAAAGCTACAAGACTCACATCGGGTATACCACGGTTACCCGATGGGAACCTCTACCCGCCCGTATCCACCCCTTTTTTTTCTTGGTCACCCGTACTTGCCCATACCCGTCTATTTTTTTTTTCTGGCCGCCCATACCCAATTTTTTTCTTTACCCGTACCCCTACCTGCCCCTACCCACCCATGATCTCCACAAAGGGCAACTGTGCCCGCCCTAACAACCACCACCTTTTGTTTGTGCCTCCCCATCCCCAACTCCCCCTTCGGAAGGGGTACCCATACCCGCCCGTAACCTGGCGGTTACAGTTGGGTACGACCGGGTACGGGCAACGGTTACCCATTTGCGCTCTCTGGTGCCCCCCCCACAAAAACTGACGTACGCCTCCTTTTGGCTGGTGCTGCCAGCCATATTGCTATGGAGGCTGAACCCTGAAAGTTGCGGCTGTATCTGCGCCGCATAATTGATTTCATAGCGGGGAAACATTTGTGTTCCTTTTTTTTTCTTTTCTTTTTGGGGAAAGCTAGGGCGGTGTCACAGTTTCAGTTTGAAAATGCGTTTCAGTCACCATTTCATGAATGTTGTGTCAAACCGAAGAAATTGTGAATGTATACAACCCAGCTTTAGGGTCGCGCGTGGTTGTGTTGTATTTGAGGGAGGCCTGAACTGCATTTTAAACTGAAATCGTGACTGTGCCCTAGTTACCCCTTCCTTTTTTCTTTTAGAAAAAGTAAGCTACATTCTTCTCTCAATTTCACCTCACACTACCTACCTTCAGGTTTCTTTGTCAACTGTTCTGAGCATGAAAAATTGTCAAGGTCCGCAATCTCTCCTACAAATCCCTGCCCTCACTGTGGAGGGTGAAAAATGAAACGGCTTGGATCTGGTCCTTAGACCCTTGGACCACTTTGGACCAGTGACCTGAATTTCCCTGGATCTCTTGACAGGTCTCTGCCCAACAACCGCTCTCCTCCAAATCCCTCCCCAAATCTTTGCACCCTTTGCATGACCGCACCGGGCCTACGGACTAGGCTGTATATGTGTTGACAGGTCGCTGCCCAATGGCAGTTAGGACCAATGGCAAAAGGATTGGGCGTTAGGTGTATAAACGCAGCCTACGGACTGGGCTGTATTTTATGCACAAACTCCACTTCTGAGTCCACTTTTGGGACCTTGCCGTTCAAATACACCAGTTTCCACAATATCATTTGTGGCCCGCTTCAATGGCCTGTAGCCAAAACTAAATGCCCAGTGCAATCAGCTCATCCATCTGTGTTGGCAAGGCCATCTACTTGTGGGGTAGGAGCCCTGTCAGCCATGTTGATTTCCAGGACGAACAGGCAGCCAATGACTCGCATTTGATCTGCCCACTGTATGCCTCTTTCTGCCATTTTTCCACTTCCACATTTTCAAGGAAATGAAAGATTTGGGGGCATATCTGAGTCATCTTGTTCCATTTTTGTTTTGAAGGGTAGGTCCCACCTAGCTGTTTCTTTCTCATTTCTGATCACGGGTTACCAAGACCACTCAGAAACAAGAGATCTTGGGACGAGGGCCCAACCAGCAGGTCCCATCATTTCTCGATTTATGCGTGTCATCCTTGCGCAGGGGCCATGCTAATTTTCTCTGTATCGTTCCAATTTTAACGGATGTCCCAAGGACAGCAGGTCCCATCAGGTACAGCTGCAGCTAGCTGTTGGTCAGGTGCAAGGTCCCAGAATTACCCAGATCATGCGTCTGCGTCCGTTGATTCTTGTAATCTACGGCGCAGAACAAACATTGCATTGCAGGCACCTGGGACCTCGCCCCAGATCCGTACACCCTTTCTTTGGGGGGTGGGATGGGGG